GATGGCTGTTTTCAGGCTGCCTGCACCCCTTTAGGGTGGAGGTCCCCACTGGGGTGCCTGGCCAGCCTGGAGGAGGGGCCGATGGCTGTTTTCAGGCTGCCTGCACCCACTTCAGGGTGGGGGGTCCCCACTGGGGTGCGTGGCCAGCCTGGAGGGGCTGATGAGGGCCATTTTCAGGCTGGCCAACCCCCCCCTAGTGACGGAAGCTCCCAGCCTTTCCTTTTTTTTTTTTTTTTTTTTTTTTTTTTTGGGTTTTTTTTTTATTCTGGGATTTATTTACCTTCTGTAATTGAAACTTTGTTGCGGCTCCAGCTCCGAGGCAGGCTGGCTGAAAGCAGGTATCTGGGGTTTGTTTAGATTCTATAATTGCAACATTGTTGCTTAGAGTACAGCTCAGAGCCCAGCCGCTGCAGGCGGGGAACCTTGGCTTCCTCCATCACTGGAGCAACCAAGCCTCATGTTCGCTTCAGCTGCCTGGCTGCTGGCCGCCATCTTGGTTGGCAGTTAATTTGCATATCACCCTGATTAGCCAATGGGAAGTGTAGCAGAGGTATGGTTAATTACCATGTTTGTCTATTATTAGATAGGATAGATTGCCTAGGAACTTGTTTTTTCAGTAGAAAACAGATTCTGAAGTTTTATATATACATATTAGAAATTGAGGCTAAAATTGGATTTTATTTTAGCTTTGTAATATAATAGTAGGACTTCTGGTGCTTTTAATATTTTCCTTTCCTTTTTTTATCAAAGTCAACTCCCTACATTAATATTTACAGTTTTGCCTAAGCATCAAGCTTTGAGACGGGAGGTTGAGATTCGATTCCCAGTCAGGGCGCATGTCCAGGTTGCGGGCTCAATCCCCCGGTGGTGAGTGTACAGGGGGAGGCCTAGCGATAATTCTCTCTTATCATTGATGTTTCTGTCTCTCTCCATCTCCTTTTCTCTCTGAAATCAATAAAAATGTATTTAAAAAAAATACTTATAGTGTCGCCCAGCCAGCCTGGCTCTGTGGTTGATTGTCGACTTATGAACCAGGGGTTCTTTCTATTCCCCGTCAGGGCACATGCCTGGGTTGCGGGTTTGATCCCCAATGGGAACGTGGGAACGTGCAGGAGGCAGCCGATCAATAATTCTTTCTCATCACTGATGTTTCTATCTCTCTCTATTTCTCTCCCTCTCCTTTTCTCTCTCTGAAATCAATAAAAACATTTTAAAAAGGAAATTATTATTTAAAAAAATACTTATAGTATCTACCATATGTTGTTAAGTGGAAAAAAACTAGTTGCAGAAAGTAACGTATGTAGTATGATCCCAATTAGGCTTAAAAAACAAATATACAACAAAAGCAAAACTATGTGTGGCACATGGTAGGTACTCAAATCTGTTGATTCTGTATGTACCCATAGAAATTGAAGATACAATCCAGAGTGTTTGGAGAGGTTACCTCTGGGAAGAGGTATATAGTCTAAAGTGTGTTTTTATTAGATATACTTTTATGTTTGAATTATTTGCAGTGAGCATGCATTACTTTTGTATACATGTTTTTAAACAATCAAAATATTAAGAAAAATTTACAATCTGTGGATAGACACCTCTTCTCAAATAGGTCCACTGCTTCTTATATCCTACAGTGCATATCGAACAACAAAAGACAACTATTTTATTTTACTTTTTAATCCTCATATGAAGATATTTTTCCCATTGATTTTTGTTTTGTTTTGTTTTGTTTTTTAGAGAAAGAGTGGGAGGGAGGGAGGAGGGGCACAGAGAGAGGGGGGGAGAGAGAGAGGTGAGAGAGGCACATTGATGGGTTGAATCGGCTGGGGGCTAGGATCAAGCCTGCAAACGAGGTGTACAGGCCTTTGATCAGGAATCGAACCCACGACCATTTCCTCTGTGGGCCAACGCTCTAACCACTGAGAAAACTAGTCAGGGCAAAAAGACAGCTATTCTGACTCTACAGAATTATTGATTCTCCAGTAATCAAGAAAAAAGCAGTGATCAAACCTATTTGCTCAGTGTCATTTCCATGTAATTTAATAAGTTTTTTGAAATAGAATTTTTCTAAGGAAATTTTCAAACATACAAAATTGAATTATACCTGTCTCCCAACTTTAGTAGTTATCAGTACATGACCAATCTCGTATCATCTCTAGTCCCACAGCCAACCCACTGTATTTATTTTCAAGTATATTTTAGATATATAATTTCATCTATAAAATATCAGTATGTATATCTAAAAGATAGGACTCATTTTAAACAAAACTAAAATATCCTTATCACATTTAAAAATGAGCAATAATTCCTGTATGTCCACCATCCAATAAGTTTTTAATATTTTGCAGTTTAGTTACTAATTTTCAACTTAAGTTACTATTTTTTTTTTTTTAAATATATTTTATTGATTTTTTTACAGAGAGGAAGGGAGAGAGATAGAGAGTTAGAAACATCGATGAGAGAGAAACATCGACCAGCTGCCTCCTGCACATCTCCCACTGGGGATGTGCCCGCAACCAAGGTACATGCCCTTGACCGGAATCGAACCTGGGACCCTTCAGTCCGCAGGCCGACGCTCTATCCACTGAGCCAAACCGGTTTCGGCTTAAGTTACTATTTTATTTACTTTCATTGTTTATATCCTTTAAACTCATGTCTTTTTCCTTTCAAATTTAGTATACATTTTCCCTTGTAGAGTTGTAATGAGACCAAAATGATGGTTTTTGCTTGACTTTGCTTACATTTCTTAAAATCAAAATGAGAAGCTTGAATAAATGGCTGAGTAATTTTCATTTTCAAATTTAAAACATGATTCAGATATATATTATTGAATTTTGCTACATTAGAATGGGAGACTTGATTCATACCTTGACTGTAATAGCGAAGTGACACAAGTCACAAATCATGATCAGATTTATTCTTTTGTTCAAGTGCTTTTGTGATATCTTGTCTGACTGTAATATTTTTGTTTTACATAGGTCGCTAATTAATAGAAGATGGCAAAGCCCAGCCACAGCAGCTACGTCCTTCAGCAGCTAAACAACCAAAGGGAATGGGGTTTTCTCTGTGACTGTTGTATTGCAATTGATGACATTTACTTTCAAGCACACAAAGCCGTTCTAGCTGCTTGTAGCTCCTATTTTAGAATGTTTTTCATGAACCATCAGCATAGTACTGCACAGCTGAATCTCAGCAACATGAAAATTAGTGCTGAGTGTTTTGATCTCATTTTGCAATTTATGTATTTAGGAAAAATAATGACAGCTCCCTCCAGTTTTGAGCAGTTTAAAGTGGCCATGAATTACCTACAGCTGTACAATGTTCCTGACTGCTTAGAAGACATACAGGATGCGGATTGTTCTAGTTCAAAATGTTCATCATCTGCTTCTAGCAAACAGAACAGCAAAATGATATTTGGGGTGAGAATGTATGAAGATACTGTGGCTAGAAATGGCAGTGAAGCCAATAGGTGGTGTGCAGAGCCAAGTTCAACAGTAAATACACCACATAACAGAGAGCCTGATGAAGAGTCTTTACAATTGGGTAATTTTCCTGAACCACTATTTGACGTGTGTAAAAAAAGTTCTGTGTCCAAATTATCTGCTCCAAAAGAACGTGTGTCACGACGCTTTGGACGAAGTTTTACCTGTGATAGTTGTGGATTTGGCTTTAGCTGTGAAAAATTATTAGATGAGCATGTGCTAACCTGTACTAACAGACATTCTTATCAAAACACGAGATCCTATCACAGAATAGTAGATGTTAGAGATGGAAAAGAGAGTAATATCAAAGCTGAATTTGGTGAAAAGGATTCTTCTAAGACATATTCTGCACAGACAGACAAATACAGAGGAGACACAAGTCAGCCTGCTGATGATTCAACTTCAACCACTGGAAGCAGAAAGAGTAGCACAGTGGAGTCTGAACTAGCCAGTGAAGAAAAAAGCAGAGCTGCCGAGAGAAAAAGAATCATTATCAAGATGGAACCAGAAGATATTCCTACAGATGAACTGAAAGACTTTAACATTATTAAAGTTACTGATAAAGATTGTAATGAATCCACTGACAACGATGAATTAGAAGATGAACCTGAAGAGCCATTTTACAGATACTATGTTGAAGAAGACGTCAGTATTAAAAAAAGTGGTAGGAAAACTCTAAAACCTCGAATGTCAATGAATGCTGATGAAAGAGGTGGTTTAGAAAATACGCGACCCCCTAACAACAGCAGTCCAATACAAGAAGATACTGAGAATGCATCTTGTGAACTGTGCGGACTCACAATAACTGAGGAGGACCTGTCATCTCATTACTTAGCCAAGCACATTGAAAATATCTGTGCATGTGGTAAATGTGGACAAATACTTGTGAAGGGTAGACAACTTCAGGAACATGCTCAAAGGTGTGGAGAGCCCCAAGATCTGACAATGAATGGGTTAGGAAATACTGAGGAGAAAATGGACATGGAAGAGAATCCTGATGAGCAGTCTGAAATAAGAGATATGTTTGTTGAAATGTTGGATGATTTTAGGGACAGTCATTTCCAGATAAACAGTATCCAAAAAAAGCAGTTATTTAAACATTCTGCCTGTCCTTTTCGGTGCCCTAATTGTGGCCAGCGTTTTGAAACTGAAAATCTAGTGGTTGAACATATGTCTGGCTGCCTAGACCAAGACATGTTTAAGAATGCTATCATGGAAGAAAATGAAAGAGATCACAGACGAAAGCATTTTTGTAATTTGTGTGGAAAAGGATTTTATCAGCGGTGTCATCTAAGAGAACACTATACTGTTCATACTAAGGAAAAACAGTTTGTGTGTCAGACATGTGGGAAGCAGTTTTTAAGAGAACGTCAGTTGCGACTGCACAATGATATGCACAAAGGCATGGCCAGGTATGTCTGTTCCATTTGTGATCAAGGAAACTTCAGAAAGCATGACCATGTACGGCATATGATTTCTCATTTATCTGCTGGTGAGACTATATGCCAGGTCTGCTTTCAGATATTCCCAAATAATGAACAGTTGGAACAGCACATGGATGTTCATCTGTATACATGTGGAATATGTGGAGCAAAATTCAATTTGAGGAAAGATATGAGATCACATTATAATGCCAAGCATTTAAAAAGAACATAAATCACTTTCTGTGTTCTAATGTTTAGTTGATAGCAGAAAAACACCAAAGCAAAGGATATGAGCTATTTAGAAATTGATTTCTTAAGATTAATTGTTGGAAAAAAATTTCAAGGCCCTTTTACCTTAAATATTTTTGTTTAGGATCTTAAGTATCTACATTTTAGGTGTTATTAAATGTTTATCATTTTTGTTTTTTCTTAATAGAATTCTTTGTTTTTAGTTTGTTTTAGCTATGATTAAAAATTTCTTTTAAATGTAGACTACAAGTGGTTGTTACCCCTTTAATGACTATTAAACTTTAGTTTTTTATTAATAAGGTGATGACTTCACTATTTCTATGTGGGTTTTTTTTTTTGTTGTTTTTTTTTACGATTATCCTGTGAAATTTTAAACCCAACATCATTGGCCATTCCTATTTAAATTTTAAAAAGTAATTAGTATTTGAAGCTGTCCTATTCACTTTTAGCTTTTTTTATCTTTTCTTTTTGGTAAGTTGAACAGTGATTGAGCCATTGTTTATTCCCCTCTTATCAATGAAATTCATATTCTTATTAGGCAGGTTAGGTGCACTGAATCTAACCTTGAAGGTTGACATGGGCTCAGACTTGGCCCAAAAGAATTGATAGACCTAAGAAAATTCCTATAAATGAATATTTTCCTATAATTGATAAAATATTATCATTTAATAATCACATTTAAAACTTATATTAAGTGTAAAACCCAATGACTTTACTCCATTTGAGAAATTTGTGAGGACAAGTCATTTTGTTTTGTGATATTAAATTTAACTATGATAGTTAATTAAAAAGACATATCTTGTATTCATTTAAAATAATTTAAAATATTCTGATTTCTAAAGTGTGTTAGTTTATCAGTTATTTTTGTTTATATAAATAGATTTTAATAGTTCTCTAGGAATATGACATCTAAAGAAAAATGATTTTCACCTTTAAAAGTACATACTTTTGGAACTTTGAGATTTGAGAAAGCTGCCATGTATATTGATAAAATTAATAAAATAAAAAAATTACAAATCTGGTTGTTCTATAAAAGGAGAGTGTGCAAAAAACTGTCTTGTGTTTCATACTATTAAGATTTGGAGAAAATGTGCTTTGGCAAATTGCAGTTTATCACCATGCTTTATTTTTTTTCTGTAAAGGACTACAAAATTTGAGGACTATAAAATAATCACAGAGCATATAAATGGAAATAGTTTATCATTTTTTAGTTAAAGTAGTATTACTGTTAGGTATTGCTGACACAGGGTCTACATGAATTACATGTGAGTTAAAACACTGGCTAACTGACCTGCCAATAAACACAACTATTGAATAGAATGCCTTTTAATGTGAATTACTTGCATTGTAATAACCATTATAATGAACGGGATTTTAAATAACTACTATATTTAAAAGTATAATTTTGTGAGTATAAATAGTATTGCTCTTTTTTTACATCAGATTTTTAAGATATGCAAGTCATATTTTTTAATACAACTTTCATTAAAGAACAAGTTGCCAGGAGAATTGAGAGATCTATTGACTAGCACAGACTTAGTTGACAGAGAAGTATTAGAGCACAGTGTGAGTCAGAGATTTGTGAGGAGACATTGAGGTGTTAATAGGAATAGTACAGGAGCCATGCAATATTAAAACGGGAAGTAGAGGTGGGAAAAATACACAAAAAGATAAATGAGAAATCAAGGATTTTTTTTTAAAGCTACATAGAAAAAGTGATTCATCTTAGTCTTGGATACAGTACTTTAGCAAGTAATTAAATCTGAAATGCAACTTAAAATGAAATATGCCATATACATTACTGATAGGAACCTGATAAAAGTTCTGTAACAAACCCAGAGATGATCAGAATAGTGTAGAGAGATAAACTTAAACCAAATTTCTAAACTGTCTAGTATCATAGTAAACAATTTTCTCTGGGACCACTGTTTTACATGACCCTCATCAAAATGTATTGCAATGGCTTTTTCATCATAAAAGAACAGGGTTCTTTCTAAATACTACCAATCCATTTCCTAATGGATTGTCTATTCTATTAGGAAAGGGGATATAATTTAAGTGTTTTGACATGTACTAATAGCCAACAATTAGTAACCAAATATATAAATACTAGAGGCCCGGTGCATAAGTTTGTGCACATTGAAAGGAAATTAATTAGAAGAAATATTTTAGAGGCCGGGGAGGGACCACGGAGGTTGGCTCCAGGGCGTGACCAGCCCATATTGCCCAGTCCCGATTGGGGGCATCTCGCCCAGTCCCCATCGGGGCCGGCTGGCCGGGGAGGGACCATGGGAGGGCTCCAGGGTGTATCTGGCCCTTCTCGCCCAGTCCAATCGGCCGGACCCCAGCAGCAAGCTAACCTGGGCGGAGTGTCTGCCCCCTGGTGGTCAGTGCACATCATAGTGATTGGTCGAGCAGTCAACCGAACGGCTGACCGATCAGTCAGACACTTAGCATATTAGGCCTTTATATATATAAACAGTCTCTAATTTTACATGACTGAGATGTTCACAAAACCACACCTTAACAATGTTGTTTTCTCTGTCTCATGTTATAGAAAACAACACCTTTTGTTTTAGAACTAGCTACAGAGGAAGCACAGGCTTTAAGTATAATGTACAGTTTTCCTTGTTAAGGCAGAGTTAATTTAAAGGCTACTTGCCTTTTAAAACTAGGAGGAATGAAAAATATCCATCACCTCTGACCAGCCCAGTTTCCTCTCATTTTTTACCTCTCCTGAGGTTGAATTACAGCTTTGGAGCTTACTATTGCTTCTTGCCCTTTAGTGCTGTGAAGACAATGAATCAAGGTTATGGAAGCTGTGTGCTCCTCTTGCCTTTATAATTTGAATGATCGGGCTCCAAATCTAAAAATGAGAGGGAAATCTGGGTAAATACATACACAATCTTGTTTTTCTTTCTGTCTCATAAACACAGTCTTAAAAGGACTTTTGTTCTCTAGCAAGAAATTCTAGAGTAATGGAGTCAGTGCCTAAAAAGCTTGCCATCAATTACAGTGCCACTCAGATGTTTATAATTCTGTAGTAAACAGGACTAAGAAACTCAGAAATTAATAAAGCACAACCAAGGGGCAGTGGACAAGAACTCTTAATCACTCATTTATTCAGGGAAATGCCTTACCACATAAAGTAAAATAGCACATGGCTAATGTTTAATGTGTGAAGTTTGAATACAGACAAGAATGAGAAGAAGGATTCCAGGGGCTAGTTATAAAAATAAAAGAATTAAAATAAGGTGTTTGCTAGGGCACTCAGAGCACCAATTAAAAGGTAAAATAATAGACTGACCTGGAAAATCCCATTTAAGTAATGTGGTTGAGGACAAAAATATGAACAAGTCATAAAAGTTGAATAAAAAATTAAAGATTTGAAATTTTCTGTGATTTGAGTAAAGATTGAAGTAATTTGGTAGGTTAAAATAATTTGATTATGCCCTGGCCAGTGTGGCTCGGTTGGGCATCATCCTGTGCGATGAAAGGTTGCTGCTTGATTCCCAATCAGTACACATGGCTGGGTTGTGGGCTCAGTCCTTGGTCTAGGGTGTGCAGGAGGCAGCTAATCGATGTTTCGATCCCACATTGTTTCTCTCTTCCTCCCTCGCCCTCTCTCTAAAAATCAATAAAAACACTTTTTAAAAATAATTTGAATAGATTAAAAAATTGAGTTAGAGCTATAGAATGCCCAAGAAAACAATTATGAACATGCCAAGGACATGCCTAAATACTTGAGATAATATACCAATTTTTATATTCTAAAAGAATGGGAAGTGAGGGTGGTGGTTGTTGCCAACTTTCTCCCTGGTTAAAACAATAACTTGTTTCCCTAAATCACTTAAGGAACTTGCATATTTAATAGGTCTCTGGAAAATCCCCCCCAAAAAACAGTGAAATTGTTAAACAAAAACTTGTCATTATTTTTAAAAGCTAAATCGGTACCAACCAAAAGAAAAATAACCTGAATGTGTATGTGCACATATAGTTGAGAATAAAGAAATTTGGTTTCTTTTTCTTAATTTTAAATGGTTTTATGAGTTAAAATTCTTTTTTTTTTTCTTGCCATTAATCTACTTTGGTCAGTTCCTCATTTTTCCTCACCATCCCCACCTCCTGTGTTATCATCAAATGCTTCTCAGTGATAAATGCTACTGTTCTGCAGGCACCCTAGCATTACTAGGATCCTAAGGTACTGAAAAGTTCTGTGGGAACATATCCTTGTGGTATGTTCTCCTTAATACTTGGGGTATAGTAAACAGGGTGACAGATGAATGCCAGGGAACTGAAGCAAGTAGAGTTATATTTGGTGTTAAGAAGTTGAAGTGGCAGGCCAGATTTGGAAACCCATGATCCATCCATCCCAGGCTCTCACTAGTAATCCTCGCATCCATTTAGTTAGCACTCTTTCTACGCTGCTAAATGCTTCACATGTGTAATTCTAATCTTTACAGCCTTATGAGGTAAGTATTATTCTAATTTTTCAGATGGGGACTGAGGTTCAGAGAGACTTTTTTCCTGAGACCACACAGAAACTAAATACTAGATACGAGTGTTGGAATTTGAACCTAGACCTATCTGATTTCTACATTCCTGTATTTCACCACTAAGCTACATACTCCACCTACCAAGAAGTACAAAGAAGGGCCTTTGCAGCCTAGGAACACGTGATAAAGCTCCTATGAGACTGTGCTTCTTGTTCATCACCTCTCATCTGAGGTGCCTGGTAACATAGCTGGTAATAGTGGGTACCTAATGAACATGTTGAATAATGTAAAAAGAATCAGTTGAAAACAAAACTTTTTATTTGAATGGGTCATTCAGGATGATGTTTTAGAAATAAAGACTAAATACTGATATGTTTCCATTTTCTTTATTTAAATTTAAAACAGTGGTATTGTCAGCCACTTTTGGGACCCATGGTAGGTGCTCAATTAAAAATTAATTTGAATTCAACTTACATATTTCTATATTTGTGAACTATCCTCTCTTTTCATTATTCCTGACCTTTATGTTTTAATTTCCCCACCAACGCTCATTTCCTTTTACTGATTATGAAACTGATGAATAAATCATTTGAAAATATTCCCAAGAAAAATCAAGACCCCAGAATAAACAGTTTCTTCTTTTTGCCTTAACAAAAGATGTGGATAAGAAATTTTTCATTTCTTTGGCTAAAAAACAAGACAAAATCCCTAATTACCATGTAGTGATTGGTTTGATTAAAGTTTATAGAGCAATCAAAATTTGCCTAAAAACAAAAGTTGTTCTTTTCGCCCAGCTGGTGGGGCTCACTGATTGAACGTTGACCCAGCACCAAGAGGTCCACAATTAGATTCCTGGTCAAGGCACATGCCTGGGTTGTAGGCTCGATCCCCAGTAGGGGGTGTGCAGGAGGCAGCCTGTGGATGTAGATGTTACTCATCCATGTTTCTATCTCTCCCTTCCTCTAAAAGAAAAAAATCAATAAAAAACATTAAATTTTTTTTCTAGCAATTGGTAATTCAATTTACAAAGAAACAACAACAAAAACACTATGGCTTTCTAGTGTAAACTTGAACAAGTCTTACTTGTAAAAGAACTGAAAGATAATTTCAGGAAACAACAGCTGTATATCCACCCTAACCTAGAAGCCAAGTTTAAACAAATGAACAGTTATTTAATGGTTTAAGTCAGAGTTTCCTCCCAACTGAAACTGATTTTAATGTCCTGCATCTATTGCCAGATTTCTACAGCCTATACAATAGGTTTTACTTCTGTGTTAAATCTACTACTTCAAGGATCTATCTGCCAAATTTTATTTTTTAAGTTAGAAGAATGGGTAATGTCTATATAATTTAGGTTACCCCTTTTCATGGTCTATCAAACTCAAGGACCTATTTACTGGGTAACATGGGAAGAGTCTCACTAAAACCAGATGAAATTTAGCTACTTATAAAACTATATGCTAGCAAGAGGCAAAATGCAAGGATTTAGAACTTGTATTGGTAAATATTAATTAAATGACTAGCAGCTTGTAAATTCATGCTAATTTTAAACCAATTTAATACCACCTACATATTTATATGTACATGCTTACTTGATTTTAGCTTTAAGAACTTTAAGTCCTATTTAAGTTGTTCCCTTATATTCAGGAAAACCAAATCATTGAGATTCATTAGTGACAATCGTTCATCCTTTCTATCAAAATCCACCACAGATCACTAGGGGGCAGGAAACCATTATGATTTCTCATTATCTTACTCATTTGTTAACAGGAAAAGATGGTTGTGAAGATTATAACTCAGTGCTTGGCTCTGAATTGAATGCATCAATGTATAATTGGCATTATAATAAGTCAGAAATCACAGGAAATCAAAGGATGACAAAAAAAAGACATGGTTTCATTTCAGAGTCAGGAATATTAATTTTATGTGAGAAAATTTCTATATCCTCACCTATTTGAGAAAGGAATAGAGTTAGGTAGACAGCCTATGAAGCCCCCAGTTAAACTTTAAAAAGTTACTATGTTTTTATTCTATTTAAAGCAATTGCTTATACCAATGGGAATTAGCAGAATTCATTTTTAGATGAAATAATTCTAAGCATACAGATTATGAAAGTCATCTTTTCTTTCAAATGCTTATATGTTCCCTGATGTGGGGGTGGGGGGTGGAAGTATTTTAAGAAACAATTTCTTTGTTAAAAAATTATGGCAAAGTGTTGTTGCAAAAAATATAATTTTACCCACAATCACTGGGGCAGGTTAGGGAAGCTGTGAATTTAGGAATTTGAAGGAAAAATCTGTGTGTGTGTGTGTGTGTGTGTGTACTTTATTTTCATTTACAGAGGGTATTCAGTATTTAATATTTGGAGAAAACCATGTTAAACTTGATGTTTTACTTTTAAATTTGTTAGGTCTATGTTTCAAACAGATTTGCCAGTAATAAGTTAAAGTACACTGTAAAATTATTTGAAGGAAAACACTTACTGTTTCCTTCCTCCCTACTTTCATCTACCTGGCTGACATCCTATCTTTATGTTACATATTTATGTGCTTTACCCATTCTAGCTTAGATAATGCAAGGGGTGAAAAAGTGTCCCTATAGTTGGGAGAATTATTTGAGTGATAAGAACGCCTTATATTTGAAGGGTATAATGAGTTACATTGGGGAAGAAATTAAATAAATTCAAGTTCTAGGAACTATGCTTTTGTTTCCATTCTTTGTTCTATTAATAGTGTGCTGGTCTGATGCCAAAAGCCATAAAATTCTGACCTAAGACATGTATCTTGCAGAGCAGTCAACTTGTAATATTATCTTTCTTGAGTTTTGTCTTTTTCTGTGTGGCAGTGGTGAAATAGGGCCTTCTAAACCTCTGGAGAAGTGAGATCTGAATTTGGAGAGGACCTGGGGAAGAATCAATCTTCAACAGATAATCTTTAAATCCAGACCCAGGAATATCAGATCTGAAGTGACACCATCTTTTCTGTCTTCCTGACAAACCTCATCAGCCCCAAATGTTCCAGTTACAAGCATCCAAGAAAACTCAGAAAAGACCACTTTGAAATCACTTTGTTGTGACAAAATTGAATCACGGCGACTCTCTTAGTATCTGTGGAAAATCTGCTAAAGAAAAGTAGAATATTCATAAGACTTCAATGGGTAAAGTTACACTAAAATGAAACTATATGCTGATTATCTTCAAGGGTCTCTTCTAAAATGCTTGCTAGGCTACTGTAAATATCTATCTATAGTAATAAAAGCATAATATGCTAATTAGACCAGGCAGCCGAACAACCTTCCAGATGACCTTGACCTTCCGGATGAAGCTGGGGCTGTGAGGGCTGAGGCAGCCACCATGGCCACTAGGGCTGAGCCCCTTGCACGAATTTCATGCATTGGGCCTCTAGTAATCACATAACTGTGTAAACATATAATTCTAAACTTAATCTGAATCAGAGTTTACATATTATTAAATGCTTTTAGACAGTTAAAAAATACATAAAAATATGTAGAATGTAAATAAAAATGTGGGTACAGAGAAAAAAAAGCAAGAACAATAACAAGAAAAGATAATATCGTTATTACTGTAATGTAACATTTACCCTTTTTTACTGTATATATGATACAAACTTGATTATTAATATTAATGAAGCTTCCTTTTAAGTCTGTTAACTTGAAGGAAAAAACAGAAGTGGTATTATTTCTTCAATAGTGGTAGATTTTCACAATTCACAGACAACCAAAAAGAGTGTATCTTAAGGCATTATTTTCTTTTGAACTTAGCAATATACCTTAATAGGACAGAATGAGTTTCTGTTAAACACTTGTTTTCAGTATTAATGTTTCTCAGTTTTCAAATTTCAAGATAAAATTCAACTAAGTATTGAATAAAATAATGGTTAACATATTTTAAAAGTCCTTTCATGGGGAAATGAAATGTTTGGTGAAATTTTAACCTGGCTACAAATACTTTTCAAAAAATACATTTCTAGCCATATTATTTTCTTATTGTGAGTATACTTGTAGTTTTACTTTTGGTTAACTGTGTACCCAATTCATTATTATTGTTATTATTTTATTGTACAATATTAAGATGTTATATATTTTCAGAAATGTTTATTATGTTTTCATACCTATTCAAATATTTTAATAAGGAGTTGCACAAAGAGATCTAACTTAGAGTATTCATAATAGTATATGCAGAGGTTAAGTAATTTAAACTCTCTAGCTATAAGATAGGATAACTTGAATATTCATTCTAATAATTAGATTAAAAAATCAGAAAAAGTTAATTACAATGTGTGGGTCCAGCAGCAAGAAGGGAGAAGAGAAATCCACTAAAGATTTCAAAATCATATGAATTCAATTGCTTTAAAATAAAACAAATAAGTTTAGAAAACTGTTAGTTTCTGAAAAAACAAAAATAGAGTTAATCTCTTTTGGGAGCATGAGGAAGCCTACAGAACAACAGACTTATAACAAGTAGGAAACAGAAAAGATAAAAAATATTATCAATAATTAAAGGTTCCAGATCAATATAGTAGAGATTCAATAAATTTTAATTGACTGGTAGAATTAGATTCACAAAAGAAATATGCTTAAATTTTGACTACTAAAATATGAATATAATGAATAACAAGTGATTTAAATGCATTCTACAATTTGATTATTTTCTGTATATTACTACAAAATGGAGTTTATTGGGTTACATGGAGAATTTTTGTTACATTTCTAATCCATTGCTTTTACCTAATAAAATTCCCTCCTCTATGTTCAGAAGTTAAACTGTTTGTATATTACTTTTATTTATACTGTACTTTTCAACCTGACTTTTAAAAAATTATTTGTCTGAAATGTTATCAATTCCTTCCATTCTCTATACCAAAATAATAAACTATCTGACGTAGCTAATTATAGTAGTCCTGAGAAACTTCAGAAGTACACAAAGAGAATTACTAAAATGATTACTGACAAATCCTGTTTTTTTTTAATACACAATGACTGCAAAAGTACTAATTCATAGCAAACACAGGTGGCAACACATTAATTAGGTTTCTTTATAATACAAAAATAAACATTTATAAGAATCCACTGACATAGTATTTAGCTCTTTCAAAGGGTTGGTTAATTCGTTTTTCAGAATAACAAACATAATTTATTTATAGAAATAACTTCCTAACCAGTATAATTCATTTTGTTTCTTTTCAGTTAAAGAGCTTATTAATGTTGTTTCAAGTGATCAGCAATGAGTACTCTCTTCATTTCAGATCAGTTCTCAAAGGCGATTGTCATAGTTTCAGTTAATTTTAATTTCACTTAATTTAGTGTCACCAATAATGGCATATTGAGTCTGACTTCTTTCAGATTATTTCAGACTATTCCACAAGAGTCTATTCTCCAAGTTAGCCCCCTACAAAACTGAAGTAGGTACTTATAATCTGCTGTGGTCACAGATTTCTCTCCTGGAAAACCTTTTTTCTAGGTTTGGTTCTGATAGCCTGCAGTGCCAGGCAGGGCAGTGTCCTACCCCAGGCTACCGTGTATCTATAATTTAATTGTAACTTTTAAAGACAGTTTTCCAAGACTCAAAGAAGCAAATAGTGAAATTTTTCCTATATGACAGGTGATTGGATAAACATATTGGGACAGGATACTTCCAAGAATTACAAAATGACAGTATGTACAGAGGTCTTAAATATAATAATTAGTTTGACACCAGTTTGCTCATAGGTCCTCAACTTATAGGCTGCTTCTTACTCCACCTTCTCTTCAGGCCAACATTACCTCCTCAAATCAATCCACAAACTTTATGAAGGTTGAACCTGGGTAGGTAGGGACTGAGAGGGTGCCAGAAAAATCCATAAAATTTTTCCCCTAGTAATTTGGGAAAAAATTTATTCTTAGTCTCCCTAGAGCAAGCCTGACTATCCATGTACAAAGTTTTAGACCTTATTTTATTCATCTTTGTATCTCTAGTACAAGTATTTTCAGATGTGACTTTGTTTCATCTTTTGATATTTGCAATTTGAGTACAGAAATATAAGAGGTAGGCAGATAATCTTCCTCTTATACAGGAAAAATATTCAGTTTTTTTGGTCACTTTTAATAAACATTGAACTAGTGAATCACTACTGTGTTCCAGGTACTTTTCTGGCTGTTAAGGATTAATTAAAGAGGGTTTGATATATACTAAAACTCTTGGTTTTTCCACACTGTGCTGAACTTCAGCCTTTGGATTTTAAAAATACTTTGAAACACATAATATTTATAATCTGCCAAACAGATTTCATTTGGTGAAAATCAGTAGTAATTTCTATGTAAGTAGTAGGATTAGTAAACTTTGTCTTGAGTGAATGTTAATAGTCAAGTTTCAAAAATGAATTGTAAAAACATAAGGGTATTTAGAAAAATTACTGATAATCCTACCATCTAGAGAGAACCAATTTTGATGCATTTTTCATATACATAAGATTATCCTACATATGGGATAAGAAGTTACAAAAGTCTTGTATCTTATTTTCCACTTAATTATGTCAAAAACATTTTTCTGTGTCATTAAAATTCTTGTAAACAATTTTTATGGCTACATAATAATTCATCATATAGATATACTATAATTGATGTAATAATTTTCTTATTGTCAGATATTTAAGCCATTTCCTTTTTAATGTTGTTATCATAAATAATACTACCTGAATGTTCTATTATTTCTGGATGAATCCCACATGGTAATGCTAAATAAAGGATATGATCGCATTTAAAGTAAAGAAAAAATATTATCACATTGCCTTCCAGAAAGACTGTACTAATTTACATTCCCACTAGTAGAGTTTACCTGTTTTGCTGCACTGTTGCTGGCTGTGATGAATATTATTTGATCATAAATTTGCTAAGTTGATAATTTTAATAGACTATATTTTTAATGAATTCTGAGCCACAATCATCAAAAAGAACAAGATTTTAAAAAATCAATACCAATATAGAACAATGTAAAAATTCCAAGGATGCTCAGTGTATGGTAATGTTCTAGGACTAAAAAAGTTTATCCTATATAATAAAAGCCTAGGTGGTGTCACGCCCTCGCACGACTTCGTCACAAGATGGCCACGTGCACGGAGGCAGGGCCCGGCAGCTGATCCACACGGTGAGGCCTGGGGGTCCCGCAGCTCTACGCAGCGCATAGGCAGTCCATCCAGGCATCTCCACCACCTCTTGTGGAGGAGGAGGGTCCCAGCAGAGGAGGCGGGTCGTGGCAGGGGAAGGCAGTTGGGGGCAATCAGGCCAGCAGGGGAGAGCAGTTGAGGGTAATCAGGCTGGCAGGGGAGCGGTTAGGGGCAATCAGGAAGGCAGGTAGGCGAGCAGTTAGGAGCCTGCGGTCCCAGATTGTGAGACCTGTGGGATCAGGCCTAAACAGGCAGTCGGACATCCCCCAAGGGGTCCCAGATTGGAGAGGGTGCAGGCTGGTTGAGGGACACTCCCCCCCCCCCCCGTGCACAAATTTTGTGCACCTGGCCTCTAGTTTCATATAAGATCAAATGCAAATACTGCGTCTTTTTAGGGAAAGCTCAGGATGCCATCTAAAGTGTGAAACATGTTTACTGGGTAAAAAGAGCAGAAAAAAGATATATTGCTAATGAAAATACAGATAAATTGCTACTGTGGTTTTACAAAGCCATGTTATAGATGAATGTTAGATTGCAAGAGTTGTTTGTAATAACCGTACATAGAGATAGTACATAGTTACTAAGAACCTCTCCCTCCTGAAGTTTTAATTTTAGTGTTTGTGTATACCAATTGGCATGTTTGCTTTTTGCAATCTTGCCTTGCCTGAGGTAAATGTGTGAGAGATCTGAAGAGTTTGTTTTTCTTACAGTGCTGCTTTCAGTTGTAGCTGAGAGTCTGTTTCTAAATCACATCATATTAGTTCTACAAAGATTTGGATGGTTCTCCAGCCCTCTGATCCCCCCTTTTTAAATAACTACATAAAAGACAATAATTTGCAAGAATAAAATCAAGAGATATGTACTCACAATTTAAGGCAGCTTCAGTAGAAAACTTTTGGTTTTATCTTTGTCTTCCTAATATTTTCTTTAAAAGATGTCCTAGTTCATATTTTTCTTTAATTTTTTTTTCCCATGGAAAAGGAGATGGGAATTGTGGTTAAAACCGTACTATTTAACTAATGAGGTGAACAAATTAGTAGGAAACGTGTTTTTAAATGTTGGAGATTACATATACAACTAGGTAAAAGAAAGGTAAATGTTCATTGTTAGGCTTTGCAGTGGTTCTCAACCTTCCTAATGCCGCCACCC